AACAACAACAACAACAACAACAACAACAACAACAACAACAACAACAACAACAACAACAACAACAACAACAGCAACAGCAGCAGCAGCAGCAACAACAAAGAGTTTACCATCGACAACCACAAAGATCTTTTGCTGCGCCCATATCAGCAATCACTCATGTCCCATCCGCAACAGTTCGTCAAATTCCAATCGTCTCACTACAATCCATATCAAATTACTTTGCAAGTAACTCGAATGCTAGTCAAGCTGGCATTCAGGGGAGTATTCAAACTAATCAGACTGCCATGGTTTCTGGAACTGCTAGAGATATTATTCATAATAATGAAGACATCCGTAAAAGTCGAAGCGAAAGATCGGCAATGCAGTCGGTTAGCAATTTGATTGATCATAATTTGACATTTCAGGAAGACACAGGATTAGTAACGGAAATGTCAACCGACGTAACGTCAACGTTACAGGCTTTTACAACTACGACGACTGCAACTGCAAATGAAACGATGACGGGTACCGCTAACTCCATCTCACCTCCAATCTCAATCCCACTTTTAATCTCAAACTCGGTTTCAAACTCAAACTCAAAATCAAATTCGAGCGTGAAATCAAACTTAAAAGCAAAGAGATCGAGCCCAAGTTCAATCTCGCCTTTGATTTCAAATTCAACTCCAACGTCTTCGCCTTCGCCTTCGTCTTTGAACACCGCGATGCCATATGGCTGTAACATTCCCACCTGTAATTCTCTATTTTCGTCTCCCAATACACTTTTTTATCACATCCGATCCACGCATGTAACCTTTTGCTCCTCAAACCCAAATCACAAACCATACAAGTGTGGTATTGCTAGCTGTGAAAAAACGTATAAAAACATAAACGGGTTACATTATCATGTTACAAGGGCAAAATCAAAAAATTCAGAACATTGTGGAAAATTGCGGAAAAATAAAAACGTTTCGGATGAATTGAGAGCGGATGAAGAGACTGGAGAAAGTATGGAAGAAGATGAGGAAAGGCCATATAGGTGTGTCTATCCTGGATGTACAAAAAGATATAGAAACGTTAATGGACTACAGTATCATTCGAGAAACGGACACAAAGACGAGGGCAATCGCGAAGTTGATGGTAATAGTGATGGTGACGATGATAACGATGACATTGATCATGATGGAAATAGTGAAGAGGGCGCAGCTAGCAATTGTAACAAAGTCTCTAAAATATCTTATCCGACTACGCTTACAACAATCGCAACATCTTCGCCCACCGCGTCTTCAAGCTCACGGCGTTCTCTGACAACAATATCGCTGTATGATATAATCCAACAAGACCTCCCTTCTCATCAAACTGCCACTCAAGATGCTACTACCATTATTGCTCAACATTCTAGTTCACATTCTAATCATGCTCACAACGAGCATTCGATATTCTCTCTTTACAGTTGCGATGTAAATGGGTGTGGTGGGAGATTTAACAATCGAAGCGAGCTAGGTAATCATACTCGTCTTGTACATCCGCATTTAGATGTTATTTTGAATAATAGTATTAATGCAGCACTGACTTCTGGGGAAAACGCAATGGGTGATGGTTTTTGGAAGTGTAGTTGAAAAAAAAAGATTATTAGAAGGGTTAGACAAATTAAAAAGGGAAAATTATCGCAGGGTTGTATATTGTAAAAATTCGAAATACGCCTCCAAATAGAGCGTGAAAAAAAATAAAATGATTATTATTTATTCATTTGATAAGCAAGTCACTTTGGTTTGGATCCATGTATTCAATAGTCGCGCGCATAATATCAGTCGACTTTATTTAATTAAACATCACGTCCAAGCTCTTCATGATATAACTTACGCTAATCATCTTCGTACAAACCGCCCATCCTCACATCGAGCCTCACACACGCCCAACACCACTGATTCATTTTCCTATCAACTCTTACAACATTCTCTCTACGCCTTGGTCTCTTCCTCGTCGAGACCAAACATGGCAGCTTGTTTCTCAGCCTTGCGCTGAGAACGACGTTCACGTGCTGCCTTAGCTTTCTGGCGATGAGCTTCGGCTTGATCGCTAATAAAGAGAACAGAAAGCAAAACCATTAAAATAAAGAAGATAAAAATTTTTTCGCAGTCTACAGTATGGGCACCTGACACTGCAATATCAGAATATTGTTCCTACTTACGCAAGCATCTTAGTACGCTGCTTCTCTGCTTTAGCCTTGTGAATATAATCCATAAGAACACGCTTGTTCTTGAATACGTTACCCTTGGATTTCATGTAAAGCTGATGATATCTATAGATAAAACCGAATGGTTATGAGCTAATTTTCCACTTTTCTAATCAACTTGTCCCCCTACTTATGCCTGCTCCCCATCCCCATCCCCATCCCCATCCCCATCCCCATCTACCTCGCCCACCCAAATCTCTCACTTACAAGTGCTTATCAATCTTTTTAGCTTCACGATACTTTCTCAACAATCGTCTCAAAACTCTTTGCCGTCTCATCCACAAGACTGCATGAGGCATACGCGCATTCGCTGTACCCTTTCTCTTACCAGGACCAGTGTGACGACCCTTGCGTTTGGCTTCGAGTTTTTCTCGAACTCGGAAACGAGAGTGAATTACTTGGGGCTTCTTGATTATCAGACCATCCTTTATTAATTTGCGGATGTTTTGACCTGGAAGAAAACAGAGATTCGTTGAAAGAACGTGGAAAAGGGGAGATTTGAATTGGCGGAGAAAAAAGAAAAAATTGGCAAAGAAAGATGGTGATAATGGCTCAATTAAAAATCGATCTTCTGGTTTAATCCCATAGTAGCAATGAACGCTCTATCATTTAATCTACAAATTCGTATATTCACACTCTGCAAAAGTCATTTAACACACGCAGACCATTTTCGTTCAATCCTTTCTCCTAAAGTCTCTAAATTCTCTCCAATTCCCAATTAAAACTCACGAGAATTCGCAGCTGCAATATCGGAAACTTCATTTGGATCTAGCCAAACTTTTCTCTGACCGCAATCGAGCACGCTGGCTGCAAGCCGCTTCTGACTCCTCAGATTCACCCTGTTTAAAACAGAGAATATTGTTATTCACAAGTGTTGGAATTTTGTCTGTCGATATAATTGAGTAAGTTATATGAATCATTGATCATTATTATGCAAGTCATTTTGCAATATGAACAAGCTATTCAAGTAATATTGTAGTCTCGTTCACGTATTTCTGCATCAATTTTAAGGTGGTGATAATACTCCATCGCCGATCTACTTACATTTGGGCTAGAGGAATTTGTCAGATCGCTATATTGAAAGAGGGGAGGAAGGTTGAGAGAGACGGGATTAAAAATTGTTATATGTGAAAATTTTTCTGAAAGGTGACGTACATAGTATATGGCGCAGTACAAAAGAGGTTATTGGTACGTCAACCGTACATCTATATAGTGATTACAATGCCTTGTCTAAAAGAACAGGAGCTTCTAATCCATAATTTTTTAGAATATAGCATTATGATTATTAGCTCGTATATTAATAAGCTGTTGAAACGTAATTATAATACCGAAATGTGCACTTATTGGAACCGGGCGAGTTCTACTATTACTATTCACATGAATCCTTCGTTTACAAACAACTTATTGGTACTAGTACGTGTGCATTTGGCAAGACAACATGACTGCATCAACTCAAATCACAATTGTCCCAAGTACAAGTGGGCTAACCTTTGCATTTAGTAAGTTGACTTGTTACTGTTATTATATTTATGTAAAGTCTCATGCACTCACACACTTGTTGCTTTTAATTTTCAACTTTTGATCAGGTTAATTAATGTCAGTGATATCAGTGATATAATCCTTTGGCAGACACTGGATGGCGTGGGAGTAAGCGATCGAGTTCTATATGCAGTGATATCAGTGATATATAATCCTTTGGCAGACACTGGATTGCGTAGGAGTAGAAAAAAGCGATTGAGTTCTACATGGAGGCTGCTGATCGTGAATTCCTGACAGTTTAAGTTGGTGCCAAATGAACTATGGTAGACAAGCCATAACAATAATTTTGCGGACAATTAAGCAATTTATTGGTCTCTCTGATTATGATGGGACTAAATTGCTCTTCCATGAAATCATAATCAGGAAAGATTAGGACAAGTTCATGACTCAAAAGAATGCTGATGTAGAAAGAAGGCAACTTTTATTTGTGGATAGTGGTATTAGATTAACTTCTCTGGAGTCTGTTAAGAATAAGGCTTCTATATGATGAGTGCAGGGATGTTTGGGACAGGAACCATATTTTTCAGGCAAGATATTCTTAATATTAAGAAAGAATTCAGAGAACATGACATGGTCAGGAACACCAGTGAAGACTTATGCTGGAGAATAGTCTGTCTTCATTGCGACGGTTTGTAGAGAAATATTCTTTTATTATGAATTGGGAATACAGATCACGGGTAAACTCGTTAGAGGCAACTATTATGGCTTATTTTTAAAATAATAAAAAAATGGTGTTTAAAACACATATTTATATGCAAACCCTTACTGTTGTTAAGCACCTGGGTTGATATTACTGAAAAATACAGTCACTTCAATGGGATGGGTATTATAATATGACTCCATATTAATATACAAAAACAAAATGGGCCTGGACTTGATGCCGATATTCCTCACTTTTCCTGCATGCAGAAGCTGGCGGACTTATACAATGCTTTGAAGCAGAATAAGACACTCACTCATACTAAAAGATGGGAGTTGTGATTTCGTTAGTGGGCTTCTTTTCTATATAGATGTTTTAAATTTACAAAAAAAAAACTGCAGAAATATCGTGACGGCCAAATGCCGTAATCAAAAATTCGTTTATAGTCAAAATAAAGTTTACTGTTACTACGGAATTATTTAATTGGGTGACAAGTTAGTGAAACACATGTATTTTATGTATAACTTAGATTTCGAACACCATAAGTAGATGATAATCCGCGAGTAGACGTCTGAGAGGGAAATGGAATACAAAAGTGACGAGCTCGAATAATGATATAAAATTCATTATATAAACAACTCTTTTTCCAGACAGAAAAGTAAGTTGGTTACTGCTGAATGGTAAAACCGAAAGCGGAACTACTTCCCTGGGGGTGGTTTCATCTCTTGTAATAAAATATTATATTCGTTATTTATTATTGGAATTATTAAATTATTATCGATCGTATCATTGTTATCATTGTCTTTGTTCTTTATTTTCGATATCGATACTTTGATGTAAGCTCTTCGTCGAAGTTGCCTTTGGCGTAATCTCTTGACGACTAATAAGGAAGGCATGAGAAGTGTTCAGTTTAGAAAGACTGCGATTATAAGACCTTATGTTTAGCACGTTCGTAATATAGACGATGTATAACACCGAGAGTTTATCCAATAAAGTTATTGTGAACTTATTATCGTTGCAAAGCTATTGTGAATTTATCGTTATTTTGTTTAAGTTAAAATATTATTTCGTTAATGAGTGGGAGCCTATGCTAAAATGTTAGTAGAGTATCGGAGCCATAGAGCGTGATAGAGACACGAAGCGAAATGCGGATACTCTCGATGAAAATCCAACAGAAGCATTACAGTGGAAAGAGAAACAATAATGTGACGGCAGAAAATAACTTTAACGAAATAATATTTACGATACGAATATTAATATTTTTATGTGAGAACGGCATTTCTTCATCCGTTAGTATTCAGGCACATATGTTGTACCTGACCTTTCATCCGTATGATGAAACGGCGATTACGATGTTATTGTTAAATATATATTAACGAAATTAATAGGTCATTGAGAGTAACGATTAAATTAGAAATGTTATAATTTTTATTTAATAGTTATATGTTTATAAATGTTACGGATAGTATAGAAAGTTCGATGGAGAATATATCCCTTGCCTCTCAGATATATTCGAGACGTGAACCCACTGCGACAAGTGTACTATAATAATCAACATAGTCATTCGTCTAGCAATAGTAAAATTATTCATCTAGAAAAGAATTATTCTCTAAAATGATAATTAGTAGCTATGTGCGATATTAGAGACTTGAATAATATAATAAAATTGGCTAAGTCGGTGGCCTCATCACTAAGCATCGATACTACAGAGCACTATTGTCACGGTGAGGAACCAAGCTGATGGAAGATCTTCGTCGTCTGTTTTGTCAGTAATAGTAAGAATAAACGATTTCATTTTTTTCAGTAGCTCCATATAACGAAAAAGTAGCTCTATTTATGAACGTTGATGTAGAGTAACAGGCGGCAGACATAACAATTACTCGAGATTCTCATTCAAAATTGTAGCGGCAGAATTTAAAAGTCATGGTAATACACGTATCAATATTATCCTATCACGTGTTGGATGTCCAAAATTTTTATTTCGAACTTTTTGTCGATCAATTGTAAATTAATAGTAAATATAAATGAACACCAAAGGCGGTAAAAAGACTGTGAAAAAAGCAGTCAAAGGGAAAGTAAAAAGTAATGGAGCTGGAACCGATTTATCTGCAAAGGGGGATCTTGCAACAAGGGTTAATGCCAAGACGGACAAAAAAAGAAAGCGTCCGAAAGAGAATTCGATAGTTGACAATTCAGCAACCGTATCAGCGTCTGAGGAGATTGATTTTCCACGGGGCGGAAGCATTGTACAAAAACCGATCAAAGTACAGACGAATTGATTAAATTCAGAGCGCGTAGGATGTCGACAGTGAACGATTAACATTCTTTGACATTTTTTTTGGTATAGGATGAGCAAGACGAGATGCAGGAAAGCACAGAATCACCTAAAAAGAAACGTAAACATTCCAATACTAGCAAACACGCCAAACAGGCTTCAAAGGATGAGATTAATCGCGCTATGCGCCCAGTAGAGATATTGACTTTCAATGTAACTAGTCTCTTGCTGTTTTCTTTTAATCGCACTATCGTGATCCGGGTTTCTATTTACTAACTTTTGAATTACCATCTCACGCTCGGACAGAAATTAACTGTTGGTACATGTCTTCTGGGCCAAATCCAGCAGATCGACGACATCGAGCTTACCGTTTCACTGCCAAACCAACTTATCGGTTATGTACCGATAACTCAAATTTCTTCGGCCATTTCCAGGGCCGTTGAGACAGCAGCTAACGCTGATTCTGATGACGAAATGTCAGATGAAAGTAATTCACCATTGCCTGACCTGAGGAATTTGTTCGCGGTTGGACAATGGGTCCGTTGTGCTGTTCTCGGCAAAGAAGGAGGTAATAATGACAACGTAAAAGACAAGCGGAAAAAGAGACGAGTGGAGTTGAGTTTGAATCCAGAGATTGTGAATAACGGCATCGTGGTCGACGATCTCGTCAAAGGAATGGTGAGTTGAGCCTTGAGTTGGACTGAAGAGTGACGATTTTGCAATAACGTTAATTTATTGATTATTCTTATGATATCATCAAAGATATTGTCTGCAGTTGTAGACAGCGTTGAGGACCATGGCTATATTCTGTCATTTGGTTTCAATGGAGTAAATGGCTTTTTACATGATAAGGATGCGAAAAATTATATTTTAGAGCGTAACAACAACCAACGCTTAATAGTCGGACAATTGCTCACAGTGAGCGTCCTCAAAGTAAACGACGATCGCCGAACAGTCAAAGTAACGATAAACCCAAAAATTATATCATCCTCATTAATCTCTGACGCCGTTTCCAACATTGCTTCCTTAACCCCGGGAAACCTTGTCGACGTATTGATAACTGAAATTCACGCCAACGGCCTTATTGGTAAAATCATGGGATTCTTTGATGGTATCATAAACTGGTTCCATGTTGGCGAAAAGTTTGTTACAGGGCTTAAGGATTTGGAGAGTAAATTTAAGCCGAATATGAAAATACGAGCGCGGGTTATCTATACCATGTTTTCGAATACCGAGAAAAAAATTGGCTTATCGGCTGCCGACCATGTGAAGAGTTTGGGACTTTCAAAATTGAATGATACAGCTACATCAGTCAAACCTATGACTGACGCGTTTCCTATCGGGGCTATATTTGAGAAAGTTGTCGTAAAGAGAGTTGATAGTAAGTCTGGATTAGTCGTTGAGATTGAAAATTTGGCTATTGCCGGATATGTGCAAGTATGGTTTATTTCATTATTTATGGCGTGGTTTATTTTATAACGATTGTGTCTCGTTGTTTACTTTTATATTTTTATTCGCAGAAATCGCAAATTTCCGACGAGCCGATCGCCTCTCGTCCTGCAAATAGCGGCAAATTTAATATAGACTCTACTCATCGCGCACGTGTCGTGGGATATTCTATGGTAGATGGGTTATTACAGTTGTCTCTCAGAGAATCTGTGCTGAAACAAAGCTTTTTAAGGCATGAAGATATCCAAGTTGGACAAGTGGTTAAGGTATGTCTTTACTCGCAAATAGTATAGTTTGACTTTACTCAGTTCACGCTCTAACAGCCATTCGTTTACTTATTTCCAGGGCACCGTACGAAACTTAATTCCTAGTGGCGTCATTGTATCTCTAGCTGAGAACATAACGGCACTCGCTCCAACTCTTCATTTGTCTGATGTAAAACTTACTCATCCTGAACTCAAATTTAAACCTCAAGATACGGTCAAATGTCGCGTCCTAGTTACAAACCCATCCGACAAGCGCGTTTTGGTCACATTAAAGAAAGCCCTGGTTAATAGTAACTTTCCTATTATTACATCTCTCGCCGATGCGAAAGAAGGTTTAATTACTCATGCCGTCATAACGGGAATGAATCGAGCGGGCTGTTTTGTTACTTTTTATAATAGTTTTTCTACATTTGTGCCGGTAGCAGAATGTAGTGAGACTTTTGTAAATGACGTGAGTGAAAAGTTCTCAATTGGACAGACAATAAAGTGTAGAGTTATGAGCGTCGACCAAGAGAAAAAGCTACTTAAAGTTAGTTTCCGAACAAATGTCGGGAGTGATAGCGAGCATAAGGATGTGGATATGGATATGGATTTGGATGTGAGCGATACGAAGGCTGGTGAGGTATTTGCAGTCAAACTACTCGTATTCTCTACGATTCACCAATTTTTAAGGAAAAATGTCGACTTATCTGGTCGTTTCTTCTCATTAATAGATAACGCAGGGCAAGGTTGTCTCCAAAAAGTCAAATACACTCATTCTTTCGCTGCAACCCTCTCAAAGCCGCGCTGTCCTGCATCAGTCACATTTGTCGGATCATATCGGTTCCCATGCACAGCAACTGTTTGATTCGATAAAAGTTGGTGACGATTTGCATGATATTGTAGTGATCGGAACGAATAAAACTAAAAATGCTGTTTATGTGAGTAAAAAGCCGATGCTTGTACGGGCGTGCAAAGAAGGAAAGTTGCCGGAAAAGTTGGAAGATGTAAATATTGGGGATTTCGTGGTTGGATACGTGAAATTGGTGACAGACTTTAAAGTCGTAGTGAGATTTTTGGGTGATTTCGAAGGGGTGGCTATGAGACACGTGAGTATTTATGATTGTATATGTCTGTTTAACCGGCGCGTGATTTATCACAATTAATTGCTTTCTTGTACAGACAATAGCGGATCAGTACATTGCAACCCCCATTGGCCTGTTTCATCCATTCCAAACGGTAATCGGCCGTATTACTGGCATAGACACTGAACGTGGTAAACTCGAACTCACTCTCAAGCCTTCAGAGACGCCGATATCATCTATTCCGTACATATCCGAGGATGATTTCATCAAAAGCTACTTTGCCGAAATCCCTCAACCATCTTTTGCAAAGTTCATTCAAATAGGTCGGAAAGTGAAAGCCAAGGTGATCCAAATAACAGAGGACGCGTGGAACGTCGAAATGAAAAATAGTGTTAATGGTATTGTTCGGAAAGAACAAACGGGTGGAGCGGTAGTGAACATTGGAGATGTTGTAGATGCGATTGTATTAGATGTCGACGGTACAGAGAATACGGTTTACTTGAGTACAAGAACGGAACTACTTGAAAGTGCTGATAATGACAAGGAAAATAGGACAAAACTTGTAAGTATAATTTGCTTTTTTGTTTCTTCACTTGATAAGACTAGCAAGGTGCTTACTATACCATTTGGTTATTAATCAAATTCAATGCGGTGTTAAATTCAGTACAAAAATTTAAAAAGTTTGGCTAAAGACGGTATACCAATTGACGCAATAGTCGAACTCGTAAAAGAAGACTATGTTATCCTCTCACTTCCCGACCATTCGTATCAATTAACGTTTGCGCCACTAAAATCCTACAACCAACGCTCAAAGCCGCTTTTTCGAGTTAAACCACTACTCAAGATCCAAACCAAAGTCATACACGTTCCCAAACCAAAAAAGAAGTCTCTTGATCGCGGAATTTCACTCATACATTCAACACCATCTGACTCCACCGCCAAGAACGAAAACTCACTGTTGACATTGAAAGATTTCAAGGAAGGACAAAAGGTCATGGGAACAGTAACAGGAGTCGAGAAATATGGTGTATTTATAAACATTGATAATAGTAAAGTTGCAGGATTGTGTCATATCTCGAAAATTTCGGATGACTTTGTGAAAGATGTATCGAAATTGTTTTCTGTCGGGCAAAAGTTAAAGACATGTATATTGAACATTGATCGTGAAAAAGAAAAAATATTTTTTGGACTCAAGCAATCGTACTTTGAAGACGAGGAAAATGCAGATATTGAAGACACCGTCGGAGAGGTTAGTTAACGCTTTTTTTCTCTGATTGACTGTTAAAGCGCGTGTCGCAGAGTTCTCACTGTAATACTGCATTTCCAAGATTCTTGACAGCAACACAAGCAAACCGGACAATGGTCTCTGCTTAGAGCTAGATTCCGACACTGAAATGTTCCCATCACAATCTGTTCCAATGGCGATTGAAGATGACCCCAAGATTAGCTCCGTATTTACCAACGAAGATATAACTCCATTACCGCTTTCTGATTCATGGAATTGGATTAATGTCGATGATGGTAACAGACAGTCGAACATTAATTCCGATAATGACAGTCTATCAGACGCGACCGATGATGATGGCAGCCCAAAGAAGAAAAAGAAAAAGAAAAAGAATTTAATCGAGGCCAAGGACATCACCGAGGATATCTCAAAACGCAAACCGGAATCCAATGCCGACTTTGAAAGACTTTTACTCGGCTCGCCTAATTCTTCTTATATGTGGATAAACTACATGGCTCATCAACTGAATCTATCCGAAATAGACAAGGCACGAGAGATAGCTGAGCGTGCATTAAAGACGATAAATTATCGGGAAGAACAGGAAAAGATGAACGTATGGACTGCGTTTATGAATTTGGAGAATACTTTTGGAACAGAAGAGACTTTTGAACAAGTGTTCAAGCGGGCGTTACAATCGTGCGACCCGAAACAGACTTATTTTGTGCGTGCTGAGATTTATGAACAGTCGGAAAAGTCTGAGGTTGGTTTGGGCTGTGTAATTACGTTAGTGATAGATAAAATCGTATTAACACGTCTTGTTTTACTGCAGCTGGCCGAGCAGACATATAAAACAATGCTGAAAAAGTTCTCTCAGAGTTCCAAAGTATGGACGAGAGCAGGATTGTTTTACATGTTACAAGGAAAGCTCGAGACAGCTCGCGACCTATTGCAGAGAAGCTTAAAGTCACTCCCTAAACATAAACGTACGCATGATGCCATCATTATGATATATGTTTCTATTTTTGGTTCTTTTTGCTCATGATTCATGTTCAATATTAGATGTGAAGACAATATCAAAATTTGCCCAGATTGAATTTAAACACGGTGAACCCGAACGCGGGCGAACAATATTCGAGGGTGTAATGACCACTTATCCCAAGCGCATTGATTTATGGTCGATTTACATAGATATGGAAATTAAAGTGGGCGATAAAGCAGCGGTTCGGTGAGTGAATAACGTCTGCATGATTGTAAGCGTATTTATACGTTCAATTTACCAAACTACTTTTGTTAACGCAGACGGCTCTTCCAGAGAGTGACATCCATAAAATTTTCCTCCAAAAAGATGAAATTTATGTTTAAGAAATGGTTAATGTTTGAGAAGACGCATGGGACGGAAGACGATGTTGAAGAAGTGAAGAATAAAGCAAAAGATTATGTTGAAGGACTGGGTAGCCTGAAACAAGATGAATGAAGGGATTGGGGATGTTGTTCAGCAAAATTTAGCTACAGCTATAATTTAATATTACAAAGGCGTTTTATAATAAATGTACTTAATCACAACAAACCATACTGAAAATTAATGGATAACCATATACACGTATTTTTTTTTTGCGGAAAAAATTTTGTTAACATTAAATTCAATGTCTTGTATGTAAAAAACCGAGTGTATTTTGTTTGGCAAGGGTTTGGGTTAGGGTATGATTTTGTAAATTCTGAAGAGTTGAAAATAGAAGATTTATTTTCTTAGAAAAGGTACTGCACCAAATCTTTGGGAAAAACTTTACCATGTTCAATTGTTCTTCCGTGCTTCAGGGGGCCCTGATTGTTTTTCCAGTCGTAGAGAGATCAAAATTTCCACTGTGAGGAAGTACCAACACCGACCGTTTTGCGATAGATTCTGGTACCATTCATTGCTGATAGAATCGAGAGAATATATTCTACGAGTCAAAGTCCTGCTTCCATCATTTATCACCCATTGCAAATTCTACTTGGTGATAAGCTCCCATATCTTTGGCTGCACTTGCCATGAATGAGTTGTCAAGGAAATGTGTACGAGGTTGATACAAAAAATTCAACCAAGTCGGTAGTTTTTACCCAAAAAGGCAGCTGCCACGCGTTTGCACCGTCGCGTTTTTTACGGCTGTGCGACTACGCCGCGAGCGTAACCACGAACTTTGGCTTTGCAACGGCCAAACTGACGTGGCTGGTTCCGAGTTAAATAAATTGTCCAGAGGAATACTATTATTGGAATTTCCAGAAAGATTTAAGTTTTTCTAAATTACGCAAGCCAGTTAAACCATTATAATTAATAATTTTATTATTTATAAAATTATGTCGGTATTTTATTGTTTCTTACTATTCATATTTATGTTATAAGATCTGACTATGACTTTATATTTGTAGGCTACTGTCAGCCACTACAATATAAATGTCTGAGAGTGTGAAGTATAGGTCATTGATCCTAGACATAAGACACTGCAGCCTTCCTTTTGTCAGAAGCATGGGAATATTCGTACTCGCCCGTTAGTGTTAAAATCAGTTCCCATATGCTCACATGACCTTAGAAATAATATAATAAAGCATGTTCTTAATATCAACGAATTCATAGCATTGTGATGTAGTTTATATTAACTACTATGCATATTACCCCAAAGATATGCCAAGTCTATTATTATGCAAGGTGAATCATGCTTGCTATTGAGAAAATCTTGGGACTGTGGAAATGATAGAACTCAATCGACAAGCAATATTTTTGGTAACTAATGATTGTCTACGATTCAGGCAATTTACGTGCCATCCTTATTTATGATTATGGTTACAGTTTTTGCTATAAACCGTGCATGCCTGATTTTAATAATAATAAGAGATTCATATTGACAGGTGGTGTGAGTAAACAGACTGCTGTATTGGAAGTCGGAGTTGGACGTGCGCTTTATTTGTACGACAGAACTTCCATAAGCGGCCCCGCCTCAGCTACAAGTGAATAGATTTAACTTCAACATACTATTCGTATTAGTTCCCAAATTCGGAATACATCCCACGTGACATCTGCTATAAATAGTTCAAAAAATTTCTTTTCGGTTCTCCATAATTTTTCTTTTTACTTTTCGAGAACCGCTGTCAATCGTTACTGCTCGCTTGTCGTTTCAAACAGAAATGACGTCTTTCTACGACGAAGTAGAAATCGGTTGGTATGAAGGGTAGAATTCGAGGAGAGAGTGGAGGAAAAGTGTGGTTCGGGTGGACTTGTAATTTGGTTAAAAGGGCTGCGGATTTGAACATCACAAACCTCGCCCCTGCAAACTTTGCCAGAGCAATTCAATTATAGTAGAGAGTGCTTGATTACAGTGAGCAAATATAATGAAAATTCTCTGACACTTGTTCTTATTCGGGGTTTTTTAGAGGATTTTGAGTTTGACGAAGAAACTCAAACATACCATTATCCTTGTCCTTGTGGAGATCGCTTTGAAATCACTTTGGTAAGTAGACGTTGAAGATGATCGACCAGTCGTTTAATGTATTCGAAAGTGGTTTGGATGTATTGAACGTATCATATGCTATGCATTATTTGATTGATTGCATTCCTGTCTATTGAATAGGATGAACTAGCAGATGGAGAAGATATAGCTCGATGTCCGAGTTGTTCTTTGATGCTCCGTGTAATTTATGACCCGGTAAGAAGACAAAAACTTGCAATGCTAGGGCTATTGTATAGGTTGAATATTGTTGTAGTCTACTCAACTGACGTAACGTGTGTTGCTACGCAGGAGGACTTCCAAGAAGGCGGCGGCTCAAGCGTTGATCTACCCATGCAGCCGATTGCTGTATAAGCAAATGGGCGTAATTTTTGGCCAGCACACGGAGTCAACAGAATAGGGTCCTGTGATGTATGCGTTGTCGTGTTGGTGTAAATTGGAATGCATACAATTTCTCCATGTTTAAAATGCAAAACTTTAACATTTTATTCATTATAATAAACAATTAATAAAGCATTAATAATTTTTAATATGAAAAGAAGAAGGAGGATAATATATCATTAAGTGACTAAACGGAAAAATAGCCCTACTACATCATCTTCCCAGAAGGCAACAAGATTAGTTATCCCATCCGCCTCTGCACAACACATACAGCTAATGCGAATCTGTTTATTAATCCAAAAAGTCCGTCTCTTTAGCTACCATAATTAATTAAGAATAGAAATAAAATAAAAAAAAACCCAAAAACAAAAAGACTGATTGATCGTAAAGATCGTAAAGAACTCGCTAAATCTCCCCTCTCTTGTCTAAAAAAGAAAACTTTCAACATGAAACAAAACATTATATACAAATTGACAAATGCTCACTTTCATTCTCATTAAGGAATAATGTCGATTAAAGCAGTCGAGAGAAAAAAAAAGAAAATGTCCAGTCTGAAAAAGAAGAAATTATTCACAAGTAGAAAATAAGGCCAGATCTAGCAAACCACCCCCGCCGTCCACAACGCCAACAGTACCCGAAACAAACCCTTCCTAATACCCATAAGCTCACACGCTTCCCTCAACGCAACGCTCTGCTCTCAGCCTACATTTAATTCAAATCTAACCGCCCTAACCCTACGACTACTTCACTATATCTCCTATCTTCTACATCACATCCTTGACTCTTCCATATATCTCCATTCCCACCGCCAGAGGTTACTGTTGCTCCCATCCAATCCACTCTCTCTTCATCCATTTGTCCAACTCCACATCCCCACTCCTCATTCCACTGCATTTGATACTGATAGTCTTTATTAGGCCACTGGTAGTATGGACAGTGTTGTTGGATTGCAGAGGTGTAGCCCGGATCCTGAATAAACGTTGAAAATATCATGGGTATTGAAGGTTGTGGATAATATGACGCAGCACTGTCGTTGTTGTTATTGTTTGGTAAGGACGAAGAGGATGAAGTTGTTGAAGAAAAGGGGAAAGCAAGAGGTGCATGTATGAGGTGATGGAGAGAAGTGTTATAATAGTCTTGTTGAAAAAAGTAGCTACAGTCTTGTATGTCGTTCCATTCTTTTTCTCCAGTGTCTGTGAGTGCGAGAGGAGTTATTGGTGTTAACGGACAGGATATGGGACCTAGTCGAGGACTCGGACCTGGGGTATGGGGAGGGCTTGTAATGTCTTTTTCATTTAGCAATGAAGAAGAATCATTGCCAAACAAGAAAGGAATAGGGAAAGGAGGAGGAAAGAGGAGCAGGCAGAACACGAATGGTAGAGTTTTAAAAGTGAAATTCGTTAGTATTCGTACGCTTTTGAATAACATCCAGAAACCAGTTATGGTTCATATGTACTTTGCCAGTATATCAAGTAGAGTTCACTAATAGCTTTTCTTGTTCAGTTGTTTACAGCACATGCTAGTGTTTGCTTAAAGACTACTCTTTGACCAACTTACCATAAGCAATTCCATGGACAGACCCGTTTCCTCTCCTATGAGTTTCCTTGTTATTTCTTCTTTCATCCATTTCTTTTGTGTCCTAAGTGCGCTCGTACCACATGACGGGATGATGATGTTGTTATAAATGTAAAAAAAAGAAAAAAAAAAAAAAAGAGAAAAAAAAAGAAAAAAAAAGAAAGTAAAATAAAAAGGTAAACCTTATGAAAATTTGGACACAAGAAAATAATGTGGGGTGGGGGAATTTGGGAATGCGGGGGATGTGGGAGGGAAAATTTGTGCAGATGGGAGCGCCGTGTGCGACGATGGATCGGCAGGATGATGCAAGTCGGCGAGTAGAAAAAAAACCTGTTTGTTTGAAAAGGAAAAGGGGGGAGGGTTTGGAATGAGAAAAGAGGGAAAATAGATACAGTTAAGGTTTTGATACGGTGTTTAAAGAAGGAGATGGTTGGTGCACTCAACCTAATTATTAATTCTATTCGATAAACTTAAAATATATAATTTCGATAATCGTATATTAATTTGTTTGTGTCACTAATGTATTGTCAACGAAACTGATTGTCTCCTGCTCATGCACAGGGCAACTAGTCTGTTTGTGTATGCTTGCCGTGTTTATTATGGTAATAATAATTGGTCTTTAACCTATATTCCGATATAAACAATTTATTCTTGTTTACAAAAATAAAAAAAAATAAAAATTTGATAGATAATATTTAATTATATCGATTGTTCATCTCTTATAAAATAGTATGAATTACTGCCAGTTTTAGTTAGATCTCGTAATGCACATTCTCCCTCTCCCTTCCCCCCCCAAACTCCTTTAATAGCTCAGCGGTCCGAGATAATTTCTCAACCAACTACCGAGCGGAATTCCGATGGGTCTATCTACCATCCATTCGAGGACAAAGGCCATATGCTCGATGAACATCTGGAGTGACATCAACGTTAGAAGCATCATCTTTGTTGCGGGCGTAGACGATTCTGTTTTGGTGATCATCATATGCGTTGTTGGGGATGAAACGAGATAAACGCCCTGGATCGGTGTGACTATGCGGATGGATTGGGAAGCGCTGACATCTGTGGGAAGATGAGCTGTGTGCATAAGTGGGTGAGGGGTGGAGAAGAGAAGAAGAAAAAAAAAAGGGGGGGAGGCAAATCACATGAAAAAATTAGTAATGCTATTGTAAACAAGAAGGGACGCAGCCACACGCCAAACAGACGATGCGATGCCTTTTATATTGTAAATAACAATATTCGTATATGTACTAACAGGGTATTTCATTCGAAGCGATATCTCTTAATACCAAAGGCAGTAGATCCTTCTCTTCTTCTTTTTCGTCTTCTTCTTCTTGTTGTTGTTGTTCTTCTTCTTCTCCCTTCTTGATATATTTGGTTACTCTCTTCCTTGTGGCGGCAGTGTTGATGATTGAGACTCTTTTTACAACCTCAATGTCATCGTCGACACCCTCTTTACTGCGCGTGCATGGCGGGTGGCTTCCCGATAAAGTAGTATCGGATTGATTTGCTAAATAGAATGGGTTTGATATTTTGGGAAAATGAATAATTAAATAGGCGTATTCAATAACATGCATCAATAAATATTGAAAGAGCGGTTACTTTGTTTGTCAGACTTGGCTGTATCCGAGGATGCATACTCGTCTGATACGTCGTATGCTGTAATCTCTCCTGCTGCAGTTTCTGGGGCAATTTCTGGGGTAGCAGCAGCAACAGCAGCAACAGCAGCAGCAGCAGCAGCAGCAGCAACAGCAACAGCAGCATCTATTTTTGTTGCATCTTCACCAGTGCTTGTTTTCTCAGCTGACCCTTTTGTAATATCACCTGATGCTAAAATTAATTAACTAGTTAATTAAAAGGTTAGGTATCTCGTAAAATGTATCGGCTTTTACCATTTTCATACCATTTTCCTCCGGTCTCTCACTTTCATTCTCTCTTGAACGCTCCAAATTTATGGCAGCTATTTCGCCGTTCACTGGTTCTGCTTTAAATACTGTGACACAATTAACGCCCATCTAATATCAAGAATTTTCTTGATTCGACGTTTCCTTGCAAATACTCACGAGGGGAAGCAATAGCTCTTCGCAGTGAATCGGAATCTTCATTAAATGTAACTTCCGGGTTAGTCGGTGCTGCAGGCGGAGAGGTTGCATCCTTTTAAAGGGAAATTAAAATAAAATACAATAAGAAATTAAACAATAATTCATGCCGTAAAAGAACAAAAAGCTCGATCCTTTTTTACCCGTGGGGCTTCCTGTCTGTCATTATTAGTTGGATTATTCAGTGCCTGTTTGCGTGATTTCTTGTCTGAAAACTTTTTCCAAATCTTGCTAAATTTCGCCACCATATCGAGATAGACGGTAGTGTGTGAGAGAAAAAGATAGCGAGAAAGAGCTCTGTCAAAGGCGGATGATATTTATATTCCAGCTTTTTTGTTGACGAACGCAAGAAATCTTTCGCAAACGGGCGAAAAATGACCTAACCATTTTCTTCGCGTTGTGACGCTATGATGTGTAATATTTGAGAGGTTTGTGTCAATGTATAATATGGCATATTACCATATGCCATATGGTTGGGTAATCATCAATGACGCAAGGTAATGCCATAAGCATTAATGTCTCTTGTAATTCTCGGTAAAATAGAATATAGTGTAGTAGCGATGACGACAGAATTCACCACGTGAGGTAAATCCATACTGATGATCGATAAGATGATCATAGAGATAATAAAACAAGGAATTTTTGTTATACCAAAAGAATTGAGAAGCATTCCTCAGACGGAAAAAAAATATATATATACGTAATGGACGACGCTTCAAAGACCTTGGTCATTGATAATGGGACAGGGGTGAGTTGTTGTATACGCCGATTTGAGCGTTAAGGTGTATGGATTGTGTGAGTGGTGAGTGGAAAATGCAAGTTTGCGGATGTAGTTTGCAAAGAAACAGACACGGAAATTTTGAGATCAAACAATTCTTTTTCCCTTGTCTTGCCGCCCAAAGTCTAAATCGCTCTTTATTACTCGTCTTCTAACTACCATTCTGCTCTACCGTGCACGTAACATACTTTTTCCCCTTACATTTAATGTAACTTAATCTAACCTTACTTCATGTCTCTCTTTTGAAACAAGTTTGTGAAAGTGGGCTACGCAGGCTCCAACTTTCCACAATATGTCTTTCCGTCGGTAGTTGGTCGACCCATCTTACGTGCCGAGGAAAAAATCGGTTCTGTCGAGATCCGGGATATCATGGTTGGCGATGAAGCAGCCGAACTTCGGTCTATTCTGCAAATGTCGTATCCTATGGAGAATGGAATTATAAAGAAGTGGGATGACATGAGACATTTGTGGGATTATACGCTTTTTCAAAAATTAAAGTGTGATCCAAAAGAGTGTAAAGTGTTGTTGACCGAACCGCCGATGAATCCGTTGAGCAATAGGAGAGAGATGGTCCAGGTCATGTTGGAAGAGTATGGGTTCAAGGGGGTTTATGTGAGCATCCAGGCGGTGTTGACTTTATATGCTCAAGGTAGGCGGGGCAGTGGTGGTGGAAACGGGTGAGCATGTGTGTTACGTCACATTGACGTATGAAAGAAAAAAGAGGCTATATGAGGGATATGTGCGTTTCCAGAGTATGCACGTCAAGTTTGGACTCTGTTACCATCAACTGTATCTGACTATCTCATTTACCCACTTGCTGTCTCTTAGGTCTGATGACTGGTGTCGTCGTTGACTCTGGTGATGGAGTGACTCACATAGTCCCAATATTCGACGGTTATGCTCTACCGCATCAGACGCGTCGATTGGACGTTGCTGGACGAGATGTGACGCGATACCTTATAAAGCTACTTCTACTCAGAGGCTATGCTTTTAATAGAACGGCTGATTTCGAAACGGTTAGGCAGATGAAAGAGAAGCTTTGTTATGTAAGGTGTGTGTGTGTGTGTTAATATTTCAGGAAACAATAAAGGTTATTGAATAGCGTAACAAAGGAATGCTAATCGTTTCATGTTTCACGTTTTCGTGCGGCGTTATAGTTACGACCTTCAATTGGACCAGAAGCTAGCTACTGAGACTACTGTGCTTGTAGAAAACTACACGGTAAATAAATTTCAAATGTTTTCTTTTCCCTGTAATATTGCCATCTCACTTTTTCATCTGCCCCTCCCATAGCTGCCAGACGGCCGTGTTATTAAAGTAGGGTCAGAACGATTTGAGGCTCCAGAGTGCATGTTCCAGCCGCATTTGATTGACGTGGATCAACCTGGAGTGGCCGGTATGTATAAACGATTCGTTAGAACTCGTTATAGTATCATGCATACTCATGTCCATGCTGTATTTTTGCACAGAAATGCTCTTTTCGGCAATTCAAGATGCTGCTTATGATGTGCGACTTGAACTCTACAGACATATAGTCTTGTCGGGTGGATCATCCATGTACCCTGGGTTACCTAGCCGTTTAGAGAAGGAATTAAAGCAACTGTATCTGGAAAGAGTGGCAGATGGAGATGGATCCAGGTTACAGGTATGGGGCAGTTAACCATGTGAAATCATCCAAATACACGAACACTGGCACTAACACTAACACTAATTTTTCAAACCTGTTTATAGAAATTAAAAATTCGCATTGAAGATCCTCCTCGACGTAAACACATGGTGTTCCTGGGTGGCGCAGTGTTAGCTAATATCATGAAAGACAGAGAGAGCTGGTGGATTACCAAACAAGAGTGGGAGGAGATGGGACCAAAATGTCTGGATAAATTGGGAAAGGGCGGAAGTGTATAAGCGACGTTCATTTTGTATGAAATTAACTAGAGTAAAAAAGTAATATGGACTTTTGAGTTCATTCAAGCCTCGAATTGTAGAGAATATTTATAAATAAATTATTACTTATTTGCGACATACTTAATCAGGAAGTGTCGCAAGGGACTGGCCGCAATGTTGCAACAAGTTGCTAGGGTCTTCCAAAATGTATATCCGATCGTGCGTTTGATGTACCGTACCGTATGTTCTCGTGAATGAGCACCCTCATGATTATCACAATTCTTGTATGTGATTACTGTAAACTAATCCCTACAGTTTGTGGTTTACGTTACGGTTTTGCCGATCATTTTCATATGATCGAGGGTGGAGTGCTTATTACGAGGATATAAAAATATACAATAAGTACTATATTTGAAAGCCATTATGGCTTAATTACAGGATGACATTGTTCGAAATCATGCAAATCTATGGAAGAGGAAAAAGGCACGGTTTTTCGTGTATCAAGTGGGCTGCTCCAAATGTCCCATTAGATAACGGATTAATAGCAAAATGTTTGTTGCTAACCTATTACTCATAAACTACGTAACAAGCAGGTCGACGTGGTCTTACAATCATTAGTCTTATTCTACTTTTCGATGTTCAGGTTGTGTGCCGATACTATCTGCGAACAATCTGTTAGTTCATACATAGTCAAGTGAGAGATGTTTGCGTGTAATAGACGCCTTTTTTCTTACTTCATTTAACGTAGTTTATATTATAGTTGCCAAATTTTTTAGGCGACGGCTCATGCAATTGAGCATAATGACGTCTATATTAATTTCATTCTTTCAGAACTAAACAAAAAGTAACTTGTATTGCACCACGACAGTATATTAATATTGAGCAAGCATTGACCTATTTCCTGTGCCGTTTCTTTCAGTAACTTGACAAAGATTCTTGTTATGATTTTATGCTTGTATACAGAGAGACTTTTTTTCTATTTTCCTACTCCCTATACGTAATATCCGAGAAATAAGAACAATAATTATTATTCCGCAGCGTCGAAGAGGAAATTCTATCCATTGAATTAAACAGGGCAATGCTTCGACATGGTGTTTCGACTAGTCAAGGAGTTGTCACTTGTTTATCCTTATTACACAATAAAATATCGTTTGCAATAATTAATTACAAGCTCGCTTCTGTTTAATATTAATTAAACTTTATAGTTGATATTAATGGGCCGTTTATTATTAACCACACAGCTTAAGCTATCCAATTTGGGGTATACAGTAAGCCGCTTATATACTGTATCTTTCAGCCGTGTCAGATACGCGATAACCATTGGCTAACCAGATTTTGGAGTGACGCCAATCATACAAAATGTCAATCACACTTCATTTGCTGCACAGCACTGTTTGTACTTTTAACTAAGACCATTTCCCGAGTCTACTATAACGGATTTTCGACAAAACGTATTGTCACGATATAACGATTATGTATGCCTGCCTGGACATGGGAAACTCTCGTTTCTGCATAGCTCCACTCCGGATCTGAGAAATACGACTAACGGAGCTAAAATAATATACTGCAAATATGACATGCAAACCTCCTTGAGGGAATATTGTCTCTCCACGTCTTGCAGGAAGTGATGAGTACAAGAGAGTCAACTGGGTAGGTTATCGAATATAATAGAAAAAGCATAGTGTAATAGTATTAACCTTTTATATATCGATTATGTATAATATAGAAACTCAGAGGCCATGGAGTTTGCCTCAATATTCACAAAGTATCTGTCATTTTTCGATACTGCTCATGCAACGCGTTTATTCCTACTCCATCATCAATTGAAATGTGTGTTGGCTGGGGTCGTTATGTATTTCATATGTACTTCATGAGGTATGCATCATTCAAGCATTTTTTTATATTTCAAAACAGTCATTGTTAACAGATTTCTTCTTATTATTATAAACAGACTACCCAAACATGCAGTCGCCACATTTGCATTCTTTTCACATACCCATATCTTATTAATCCCATACCCACCTTTTATTAACCCATTATCCTCCCTACTCTCTACTCCATTCCCTCACTACACCTACAACCAGTCTTTTATGAATGCCTCATTAAACTCATCTGTTCATACCCAAGATCAGAAGATAGCCAAGAACTTTAGTTGCTGTGTATGGAATTTATTAATTTGTCCATGATAATACTCCCATTAATTCATAATAATAAAACATTCCTCCTACCATATTGTCCAAGAGCATTCTGTAAGGATAAGTGGGGTATGTTGTTGGACCAGATATAAAGACAAGATTGTTTTAAACAGACAGCTGTTTAGTAGACATTGCAGGGAGATTAGGGAGGTGGAGACATCCACTAAAATTCAAAGTTGTTAATAATGAGTGACTACCACTATGTAGTTCTGTACTATGATATGGACTGTAATGCAGGCGTGTGTCACAAGTTAAGTAGAGTGTTTGAGATTGAAAGTGAGTAGACAGTCAGTGAGTTTATCAGGTCCAGAAGATGTGCTAGGTTGGACAATATTTCATGACCTTCCTGGCCAATGTGACTCACACCATACATATTAATATTAGATGCTTT